TAATAGTTGGCCCGGCCGAGGAATGATCGCAACTCGGTGACCCTCGTTGGCGGCTCCCATCCTTGTATCGCCTCCACCTTGGCTTCGTCCATCTTTAGCTTGCCTCCGCCAATGATGTGGCCGAGGAAAGGAACCTCCGCGGCTGCAAATGTGCACTTCTCCTTCTTGACGTAGAGCTCGTTGTCTCGAAGGACTTGAAACACTTGTCGCAAGTGCTCGGCATGTTCATCGAGTGTGTTGCTGTACACCACGATGTCATCCAAGTACACCACCACGAAGCGATCCAAGAACGGCTCGAATACTTGGTTCATCAAGGTGCAAAAAGTAGCAGGAGCGTTGGTTAGACCAAAAGGCATAACTAAGAACTCATATGAGCCATACCTCGTCACGCATGCCGTCTTCGCCTCGTCCCCCTCGGCTATCCTCACTTGATAGTACCCCGAGCGAAGATCAAGCTTCGTGAACCACTTTGCTTCTCCGAGTTGATCAAACAAGTCGCCAATATTGGGGATCGGCCACTTGTTCTTCACCGTGAGCTTGTTAATAGCTCGATAATCGATGCACATCCGCAACGAACCATCTTTCTTCTTTTGGAACAAAACGGGTGCTCCATAGGGGGATTTCGATGATTGGATGAAGCCAGCATCCATCAACTCCTTGAGTTGCTTCCTCAATTCCTCCAACTCGGGAGGGGCCATACGATAAGGTGCTCTCGCTGGTGGCGTCGCCCCTTGCTCAAGCTCGATCTTGTGATCGACTTCTCTTCTTTGCAGGAGCTTCTTTGGTAGTTCCTTTGGCATCACATCCACGAACTCCTCCAACACGCCCTCGATGAGAGGCGTTGGCGCCACCGAGCCTCCTTCTTCCTTTGCACGCAAAGTGACAAGGAACGTGGGTTCCATCCTCTTCATTCCCTTCACCAATTGCATGGCCGATAACGCTCTCTTTGGCCCTTCTTTGCGCAACATCTTCACCGCGCAAAATTTGTCTCCTTTGTCAAGGCAAAGAGTGTTGGACTTCATTGCCATCACCGCACCTTCTTTCTCCATGAAGTTGATGCCAAGAATGACCGGATGGTCGTCCATAGTGATGATGCTAAAGTCGGCAGCACCTTCCCAACCTTCGATCTTCAAAGGCACGTTCTTGGTAACACCATGGATGGGTATTGCCTCAGAGTTGACGGTCTTGAGAGATCCTTGCCTCTTCTCGTAAGCGATCCCCAAGCGCTCCGCCTCCTCCACTCGAAGGAAGTTGTCGGTCGCACCGGTGTCAACCAATGCTTTTGACTCGCCTCCCTCGAATTGGGTAATCACAAAGAATCTCCCCTTGCTAACTTCGTTGGCGCGGGACTTCGCCGCGCCTAGTCTCCGCATGGAGCCTATCTTCCCTTCGTCTTCCCTAGCATTCTCCTTGGTCTCCCCTTCTATTTTCTCCAAGGCTGCTAGCTTGCTCTTCTTTGGGAAATCTCGCACCTTATGTGGACCGTTGCAAAGGAAACAAGACATGGGTTTTTTAAAGTTACCAGATCTTGCCCCCTTGCTCCAGCCTCCATGTTGGTACGAGCCTTTTCCTTCTTTGGAGTGCTGCCGGTGATCTCCTCCTCCTTTGCTCTTCGAGTGCTTCGACTCGTTCAGCCTCTCACTCTTCTTGTACTCCGTGAGAGCCTTTGCCGTTGCTAAGGCAGTAGCAAGATCTTGCACTCCACGCCTCTCGAGCTCCAACTTTGCCCAAGGTTGCAATCCGAAAAGGAAGCCAAACAAAGCCTCCTTGTCCGGCAGATCGGGGATCTCGAGTAGCAATTCCGAGAACTCCTTGACATAGTCATGAATTCCGCCGGTGTGGGTGAGTCGTCGAAGCTTTGCACGAGCCTCCATTTCCACATTCTCCGGGTAGAATTGCCTCTTGATTTCCCGACGGAAATCCTCCCATGTGTCGATCACACATGTGCCTTTCTCTACATCGCCTTGCCTCCTTCTCCACCACACCATGGCCGTGTCGACCAAGTAAAGGTAGGCGGTGCGCACCATGACTTCATTGTCATCGATGCCCGAGGCCTTGAAATATTGCTCAAGGCTCCATAGGAAATTCTCTAATTCCCTCGCGTTCCTCAACCCACCGAATTTCTTTGGCCTTGGAACATCAACTCGTGGAGTAGATTGAGTCGTGGCAGGTCCGTTAGCCACGGCTCGTTTGACGAGATTGAGCTCTCCTCGAAGCTCGTCAAATTCTTCTCTCACTTCGTCCACCTGGCCTCGAACAGTCTCCCTTAAGGAGTCGATGGCGTTGGTGATGATGGTCACACACTCGTCTCTGAAAGCTTCTAACCCCACCTCCAAGCCTGACATTCGAGTGCCCATGCCTTGCATGTCGTCCTTCGAAGTCTGCACCTCTCCGCTGACTTGATCGAATTTCGACTCCATGTCCTCGAACATGGTTGTATGCTTGGCAATCTTCGTCTCCGCTCTTTTGAGCCTCTCCTCGATTGCCACCAAAGGCTCTCGAGTTGATCTATCACGATTCTTCTTGTTGTTTGGATCCTTCTTCTCCTCACGACCGCGTTGTTCCTCATTGTTGTGAACTTCGCTTCCGGATCCATCCATCTCCTCGAGGTTCTTTCTGAATGAAAGTAACCCGATTTCGGGGTGCTCACTTGCTGAGCTACGACCTTGGCTCTGATACCACTTGTCACGGACCAACTCTTGGCCGTGCGGCACTTAGCACTCAAGTCTCGTTAGAGCACTAAGTCAGCCTTTCTCGTATTCACTCAAACTCACAAGTATGGAGAAAAGCTCTAGAGATGGAAACTCTCAATTTCTGGATGAATGAAAAATGATGGAGAGGGATGCTTATATAGGCATCCTCTCCACTAAGTACAATGTACATGGCCGTCATAAATGAACGAACCTAGAAGTCCCCCCATACATGAACTTGCCCCATACATGAATGTAATAAATAAGGTGAATGCATAAGCACTCATACATGAATCATAATAAATAGGTGCATGAATAAAAGATAGGAAAGGGGGGATGTATGTACATTGGTGCATGATTTGCAAGATGCATGTATGTACCTACATCCTTCTAGAATGCTCTAGAATCTTCTCCGTAACAGTTGCCGCTGAGTGAGAAATCGACCTAGTCTAGGTAAGCGTAAAAGGAGAAGACGAGGCTATACGTGGTATCCCGACGGTGTGTCGGGACTAGTCCACAGGAGAGTTTCAACACTCTCCTGCTGTGATATTATTGACTATTGTATCGAGTTCGGCCGTAGCCTTTACAATTAATATATAACCCTTTGCAACACTCAACTAGGGTTAGACTACCAAGAACCTTGTTCTCGTGGGACTTGTAAGTGGCATCTTGTGTGTCTGCATGGGCCGCATGGGCTGCAATGATGGGCCGAGTCGGCGGCAGCAGCTGACCCGCCTTGCTACAGTCCAACACTCCCCGACAAGCTGGAGCGTGAATATTCCGAACGCGCAACTTGGACAACAGAAAACGAAAGCGATCCGCACCTAGCCCTTTAGTAAATATATCCGCGATTTGTAGATGCGTACTGACCTTAAGTGGAAGGATATCACCAAACTGAACCCGTTCCCGGACAAAGTAACAGTCCATTTCCACGTGCTTGGTGCGCTCGTGGAATACGGGATTGGCAGCTACATGAAAAGCAACCTGACTATCACAGTATAGCGGAGTGGACCGACGATGGGGCACCCCTAACTCACCAAGAAACCATCGAAGCCAGATGAGCTCACTGACAGTGCTAGCCATGGCGCGATACTCCGCCTCTGCAGAGGAACGCGAAACAACACGTTGCTTCTTAGTGCGCCAAGAAATGGGAACACCACCCAGAAATACAACGTAACCAGTAGTAGATCGACGAGTGCTTTCACAACCCACCCAAATCAGCATCACAGAAAGTAGTGAGAGTAAGATCATTACTCGCTGGAAAGAAAAGTCCTTGAACGGGACTCGATTTGAGGTAACGAAGGATCCGCAAGGCAGCATCCATATGAGCTTGGCTCGGGGAACTAACAAACTGGCTAAGTATGTTCACGCCGTAGGTAAGATCAGGGCGCGTAACTGTCAAGTAGAGAAGACGACTGACTAGGCGGCGGTATGCTGAAGGATCAGCCAAAACCTCATCAGCTGCGGATGGACGAGTCAAGTGGTGATTTTTCTCGACTGGGAAAGCACTGGGGCAAGTGGCACCAACACCGGCATCTTCGAGAATATCGAGAGCATATTTGCGTTGACAAACAGCCACGCCATCATGAGTAGCGAATTCCATGCCCAGAAAATAACAAAGGGGGAACCAAATCCTTGATGCTAAACTGTTGATCCAAGAAGGTCTTGACACAAGATATAAACCCCGAGTCGTTGCCAGTAAGCAGAACGTCATCGACGTAGATCAATGCGACAACAAAGGTGCTCCCCCGGCGAAAGATAAACTGGGAATGGTCGGCTGGAGAGGTACGAAAACCAAGGGAGCAAAGAGCACTTGTGAACTTATGGTACCAATTACGCGAGGCCTGGCAAAGTCCATACAAGGACGTATGGAGCCGACACACCCGCGTATCACTAGGCGCAGCAAACCCGTGTGGGATCTTCATGTATACCTCCTCCTCAAGATCACCGTGGAGGAAGGCGTTGTTAACGTCCAGCTGCTGTAAAGTCCAACCCCGGCTAATATCAACAGCAAGGAGACAACGAACGGTAACAAGTTTGGCGACCGGGGCAAATGTATCGTGGAAGTCAATGCCTTCGATTTGAGTAAAACCTTTCGCAACCAGCGCGCCTTAAAGCGCTCAATGCTGCCATCGGGATAAAACTTGATCTTGTACACCCATTTACACGCAATGGCGCGCTTACCAGGGGGTAGATCAACGAGATTCCAAGTCCCATTTTGTTGGAGAGCACGAATCTCCTTGAGCATTGCTTCCAGCCATCGGGGATCTTGGAAAGCCTCACGGAAATTGCGCGGCTCAATATGTAAGTTTATTGCAGCAAAAAATGAGGAATAATTGGAATTAACATGATCATATGAAACGTATGCAGCCAAGGGATAAGTAACAGAAGGAGTGGGGCTTCCCTGAGGAGTAGTAGTAGACGTAACATGGGTATTGTAGATGGTTTCATAAGCCTCAAGATGTCGTGGCCGAGCTCGCTCACGATTGCCACGCCGGGGAGGAGGTGCAACGGGCTGTGGCGAGGAAGGAGCAGGACCAGAATCCGCCGAGGAAGATGTCCCAGGCTGCTTCGCCAAGGCAGTTGATGAGGAGTCGGCGGCTGGTGAGGATTCAGCGGCAGTTTGTTCTGAAGAAGTGAGTTCGACAGGAGCCGAGGTCGAGCTGTCAGGGGAAGAGGAGCGGTTTCCAAGGACATCGTCGTCAGGTGACGCTAGAAGCACGGATCGCGGGACCCAGTGCAGGCGATCCAAAGTACTATGTTGAAAGGGGAAATAATCCTCATTGAAAACCACATCTCGAGAAGTAAAAAGCTTCTGGGTGGCCAAATCATACACACAGTAACCCTTCTGGCTGGAGGCATAGCCGAGGAAAATGCAAGCGCGGCCGCATTCAGCAAATTTGTCAAGATAGGCATGGGTGTCCTTAGCATAAGCGAGACACTCGAAGACGCGCAAATGAGAGTAGGGTGCTGGCTTCCCAAAGAGGACCTCGAAAGGAGTGCATCCAGTGGCCGAAGTGGGGAGAAGGTTGATAATGTAGGCGTTGTCAAGAGACACTCTCCCCAAAACCGCAGGGGAAGGCTCGCTTGAAACCGAAGAGCTCGAGCCATGTCTAGGAGGTGCATGTGCTTGCGTTCGACAACACCGTTTTGTTGTGGCGTATCTGTACAAGAGGTCTGTAAAACGATGCCCTCTCGTTCATAATAATCCTGTAAGACCAATGTGTTGAACTCATGGCCATTATCGGCCTGAATGCGCGTAAGCCGACGCCCAAACTGCGTACGAATCTGTTGATCAAACATCATTAAGTCATGAGCCACATCGAATTTATATCGAAGCAAATAAATCCAAACTCCACGACTGAAATCATCAACTATCGTGAGAAAATAATGAGCCCCACTAAGTGAAGCAACTTTGTAACCTCCCCAGATGTCAACATGAATTAAGTCAAAACACCGTCTAGTGCGCAAAACACTTGTAGGAAATGGTAGCCGAGTTTGTTTTGCCCGAATACAAGAATCACAGGGATGTTTATTCAAATCAAATGACAAATTGATAACGATGTAATTGCACATGTTTGCGCCCCTGGTTCTTATCCGTTTGAGGGGTATAGTCGTGTGTTTTGGCCTATTTTACGCCGGGTTGTGCTATTTTGTCATATTTCAGGTCCCAGGAGTCAAAGGAAAGGCTAACCACGAGTTTTGGGGCATTCGGAGGTCATTTCGTCAAGCTGGGGCCAAAACACGGGCACACCTAAGGCATTACACGGCCGTGTTCCTGTGGCCGTGCTTTTTATTCCGAGAGCTGAGCTGATTACACGGGCAGGGCTGTTTCAAAGCACGGCCGTGTTCCACAGAAGCACGGCCGTGTCCAACGCGAAGCACGACCGTGTTTAACCCACTTGCTGGCCGTGTAATTAAGCCTTGGCCGAGACACGGGCGGAGTCAGGCAAAGCATGGCCGTGCCCTCGACCGTGCTTTGGCCACTGATGCTTTTAAGCAGATTTTCAGCCACAACTCAAGGGGATTTGAGTTTTTGAGAGATAGAACGACTTCTAGAGAGAGAAAGTGACGAGCAAGAGTTCTCAAGTGCCCTAGATTGATCTTCAACACCATTGGAGGCCAGCTTGAGCTTGGAGAAGTGCCAATCAACGTCCAGAAGCAGGAATCCATCCTTCGCAGTATGAATTCCGTGTCTGATTCTGCTTTTGCTTTCTTCTCCATGGAGTAGTTCTCCCATTCATCTGGGTATGGAGAACCCCTAGATTTGTATGTTAGGCTTTGATTGTATGAACCCAAGTACTGATTCTGTGATTGATTATATTCGATTGAGGTTTTATTGATTGAATGACTTGAATCCTGATCAAATTCCTGTTGTTTCTGCTTTAACCTAGAATGAGAATATCTGCCTAGGTTGATAGAGCACCCTTGATTGAAGGTAGGGAGTTGGTGACTTTAGTCGAGGAGCCAACTCACTATTCTGTACCGGATTTACTCCGGTAGTGGAGGTTTTGTTCTTAGGGCCTCAATCTGTCTACTCCGGTGGAGGTTAGTCGCCCGCTAGAGATTCAGATTGAGAGGGTCTGAAGACCTTTAGTCGAGACTTCAGGCTGGTTAAGAACCTTCCGCAGTATAACCATCATAGAAACTGAACTTGGTAATTACAATCCGGCTCAACTGCAGTCTAGGGGGAACCATATCCGGGTGACCTCTTTAACCTGAATACAACAGTTTACTTGCTTTGTTTGTTTGGTAGTTTAGACTTGCATTCCAGTTTCGTTGCTAGATAACAAGAACTCACTGAGTAGTCATCAGATCTAGGACCCGGGTTGACATATAAACCTAACCCGCTATACTACGCTTTAGGAAGTGGTTATACTTGGCCAATTCCTGGAGTGACAGTAGAAGTGAGTCAAGTTTTTGGCGCCGTTGCCGGGGACGGCTAGGTTGTTGAAGAAAAGTGATTTCTGTTAATTTAGCTTTTCGTTTTGCTTTGTTTGCTTTGTCCCACTTGTGCCTTCACGGGTTTGCTTGCTTGAGTGTGTGCAGGTAGTGCATGACCCGTAGCCAGTCAGGAGGTTTACTGCCGTTGAATCTAGAGATTGACTGCACCTGTCGCCAGCTCAGGAGACAACGGCGAGCTAGACTGGCTACGGAAGAGCGCATAGACGGCCACGTGAGCAGTGATTCTGAGGAAGAGTACGGGATGGACGGCGACTACAATCAGCACCAGGGGAATCCTCAGCAGGCTCCCCCGGTGAATCAGGTCCTGGGGAACAACCCCATACCCCAGGATCATGAAGTTCATCATCCACCGCAGCCGGGTCCCACCTTGGAGTACTACTACACTCCGCGGATTGCTGACATCCGCCCGGTCATCCTCTACCCGCCTATCCCAGCAAATAACTTCGAGATCAAGCCATGCTGGATTCAGCTCATTACATCTTCCATCCAGTTCCATGGCTTGAAGGATGAGGAGGCCAGGGTACATCTTTCCCGTTTTCTGCAGCTGACGAACGGGTTCAAGCTGAATGGTGTCCCGGATGATGCGATCCGCCTTCATCTCTTCCCCCATTCTCTGGCGGGGAATGCTAAGAGGTGGTTGGAGACCCAGCCCCCATTATCCATCACCTCTTGGGACGATCTGGCGGACAAGTTCGTGCACAGGTACTATCCGGCATCGAAGACTACAGAGATTCAGCGGGAGATCACTCACTTACGCCAAGAGCCAGATGAGTCACTTCGTGATGCTTGGGAGCGGTACATGGGATACTTCTGGCAGTGTCCCCACCATGGCTTTAGTGATGCATTCACAGTGGGGAACTTTTACAGTGCCCTCTCTCCAGATAGCCAGAGGGTGATTGAGTCTCTATGCCCGGGAGGGGATGTTCTCACTAAGACTCCACCCGAGCTGAACCAGATGATTAATACATTGGCTGCCAGAGATCATTCCTGGGGGCAGAGCAGCAGAGGCAGACATTCCAGGGACCGTGGTGTGCACGCCATGGAGTCCAGATCCGGACTTGAGCAGCAGGTAGCTGAGCTAGTGCAGACATTGAAGCAGCCCAACAGTCTTATTCCGGGCAGAGGTATGGCTACACCCCCAGTTGCTCAGTGTCAGTGGTGTGAGAGCTCGAGCCACTTAGTACAAGACTGCCAGGCTATGAGGGAGTCTACTACCCCCAGGAGCAGTTGGACTTCATCGCCAATGCTCGGCGCCTCGACCCGTACAGCAACACCTACAATGAGGGGTGGCGCCAGCATCCCAACTTCTCTTGGGGCAGCAACACCACTAAGCCACCTGGTTTCCCAGCACCAGCTGGTGGCTTTCAGCAGAGGCAGCCCTACCAGGCTCGACAGGGGCCAGTTCCACAGCAGCAGCCTTACCAGCCTCGACAAGGGCCAGTTCCACAGCAGCAGCCCTACCAGCCTAGGCAAGGGCAACCCTTCCAGCAGCCCCAGCGCCAGTTTGCTGAGCCAGCAGCAGCTCCAGCTCCAGATACCCAGATGACGAAGCTGGAAAATATTCTGGCTTCATTCATGACGAGCACTCAGGCGACTATCACGAGGTTGGACCAGAGTGTAGCCTCACTGGAGGCAGGTCAGAGGAACCAGGGTGCCATTTTGCAGGATCTGCAGACCCAGGTGGGCATCTTGGCCCGCCAGAACACCACCAGGGCACCGGGGACTTTGCCTGCCACCACTGTCCCGAATCCTCGCGATCCTCACCAGCTCCAGTAGCTTGATGCCATCACTACCAGGAGTGGCAAGACCACATCAGCTGCTCCTGCCCAGCCCATTCGAGATGATCCACTACCTGCTTAAACACTTCCAGCTGATACTGCAGATGTGGGGGAAGACACAACAACGCCTGCTCCCAAGCCACAACCAGTGGTTAAGGAGCATGTACCCCAGCTTCCTTTCCCCACTCGCCTGCATAAAGACAGGCTGGAGACTGAGTTTGCCAAGTTCATGGCAATGTTGAAGCAGGTCAACATCAGCATGCCGTTCGTGGAGGCACTGTCAAAGATGCCCAAGTATGCCAAATTCATGAAGGACCTCCTCACCAACAAGAAGAAACTTGGGGATCTTTCGACAGTGATGCTGAGCGAGGAGTGTTCTGCCATCCTGCAGAACAAGCTGCCCGAGAAGCGAAAAGACCCAGGGAGTTTCACTATCCCTCTTGTTATTGGCAGCATGCATGTAGGAAAGTCCTTGGCGGACCTAGGCGCTAGCATAAATGTCATGCCTTATAAATTGTTTAAGAAGCTAGGCCTAGGTGAACCTAGAACTACTAGGATGAGCATTCAGTTAGCTGATCGTTCTATCGTGCATCCTAGGGGTATCATTGAGGACTTGCTTGTTAATGTGGGTGCATTCACATATCCTGTTGACTTTGTTATTTTGGATATAAATGTGGATGTGGATGTACCTTTGATTTTAGGTAGACCGTTTCTCGCCACCGCCAAGGCGCTTATTGATGTGCATAGTGGTAAATTGATTCTGCGTGCTGGTGATGAACAGGCTACTTTTTCTGTGTCTGAGAATGGGAAACACCCTCATTTGCATGATGACATAGATTACTGTGATATGCTTGCTGATTATGAGACCGCACTCGCCATCACGAGTGCAGGTACTGACGATGTTCTTGAGCGTTGTATTTTGCTAGGTGAGCAGGCATCGCAGGAGCTGCAGCT